GAAGGACCCCAAGGTCCCCGTCAACATTGTCGGCACCGCCCAAGGCATCGCGAAGGAAATCGAAACCGCCCTCAAATCCACATACCTCAGCCTCAGCGCCTCAGCAAACAGCTCCATCAAAGTCGGCCTCGTCTCCATGACCCCACAACAACTGACCGAGAACACCACCGCGGTCGTCAACGCCGTAGTTCCCAAGCACATCGAGCACGGCTGGCGCAATATCCGCGGCCTACACATCAAGGGCCCGCAAACAAAATCCCTACCCATCTGGCTCGCCGAGGAGCTCTGGATCGACGAGACTCAAGTTCTCGATGCCCCTCACCGCGCCGCCATCACCGACTCTGCCAAGGGAGACTCTGCACAGCGCAAGAGGAAGTGGGACGAGTGGGAGGACGAACTGCTAGATGACGAAGAGCTGGCAGCAAAGAAGGCACATCGCGACGCGAAGAAGTCGAAGAAACCAGCCAAGAAGAGCTCAATCAGCAAGGAGAAGAGGGCGGCGATGAAGAAGGAGGTCCTTGGGGGTGCGGCTGCGTCGGTAGTTGTGAGTTGAAGTCAGTAAGAGGGGTTATGTGTAAAGAGAGCATTCTCAGGGCGTTCTGGCGCGCAAAATACTGTGCACTTGTGGGTACGGTTGTAGGTAGTATACCATTCATCTGCTTATGATTTACTTGATTTGACTGCTTATGAGATTATGGGTCGCAGGTGCTAGACAGACAGCTGTGTTGTGTGTGACTGCATGTGAAGGGGGTGCGGGTCTGGCGTTGAGTACAGCTTTTAGACCCCGTCGTGCACAGTCCCTGTCTCGTTATTGGTTTTTTTGTCTTGCTGTCTCGCCATCAAGGATGTCAAGCAAGTCGAGATCAGGTTATCAGATATTTGGTGCCTACTGCGAGACTGACAATAGTGATTCTAGTTTCGTTGGTTGTGTCGCTCTTTCTGCAGTCGGTGGACCTAGGAACCGCTTAGTCAGCCATGGAGGCTTGAGGTTCTGGTGAGATGATTCGCTCCCTCTTTCCTGTTCCTTATCGTCTACCTCCATCTCATGGATTTCCTTCGTTGTGAGACTTTCCTCAATGTCTATCTCTTAGCCAGACGCAGAAGAACAGGCCATAGTCATCGTTACGCATCCTAAAGCCGGCTCTACACCTGCTCATGCGCATATACCCACACTACTGCACATCTCGACTACCTCACCGCATGCAGCTGCGCCCATGGTGCTGGCACTCGACCTTCCAGGTTTTGGAGGTTGCTGCGTTGCGAAGTTGATAGTATCTTGAGCAGCGCGTGATGTGCACTTGCATCGCCCACTCATTTGCCGGTCAAGTTGCGCGATTGTTCGTGTGGCTATATTGCGCTGTTGCTCTGGTATCAACAACTGTGCTGGCGGCACGACAGACAGACGTGGCTATGGCGGAAGGGCGTTTCGCGAAGACCTGCGCGCACCTCAGCACCAATGAGCTACCTTGTCGTTCATGCAACCGCCTACACAGCCTTGGAGGTCACACTGCCAACTGAGCATACAAGGCTGGAACTGCGGCATTTCTTATCTCTTGACGTGGCGAAGTGTCAGCTCTCCTTCTACATCTCACAACTTCATCATCCTCGACCTCTACTCGGTCGTTAAGCTTTGCGTTTCCCTACCTGTGTTTTCGGGTGCGAAGTTGCAGCCTTGTAACAATGGCCAATCCTCCTTCAAACGCCTTGGTGCCCTCCGGTGGGGGCAATCGAGACTTCCAACAGCAGGGGAGCCTTGACTGGGTCGCACTGGCAAACACGCAATACTCCATGTCCATCGCTGTATTAGGCCGGCTCTCCAAAGCGGGTGTCGACACCCTTACGGTCGCCTTCGGACAAGCAATGTGCTCCAGGCTGCCCATCGGATCCCACGGCGAGAGGGTGCTAAAGGAAGCCATGAGCAACGTCACAGCCAAATCCTTGGCGGCCGACCTCTTATGGTTCGGAATCGGTGTGCGACACATCACCCGCGATTTGGTCCAGACGTCTCAAGGCTGCTCGCTGGTTGCGCTTTGTGCAGCCTTGGCTGAGGGGCACACCATAAAAGTCTCTGCATTGGTTATGTACGAGATTGCAAGAGTATCTGGAGGTCCGCAAGATCTTTCCCCTTCTCTCGAACAGTGGGAGGCGTTGGTACAGGCAGCAGCAGCCATTTTCAGCGCTACGACTTTTGGACCACGCATGTATCAGATCGCACGATGCGGGACAATGTCTTCTCATGGATCTTTGGAATCGACACCTGCTCCTCACCCTACCGACCTTGCATCTGCTATTCTATTGATTGGGCAGGTTGTCCTGGGAGATCTTCAGTCCGTATCCTTGGAGGGAGACAAATGCTGTAGTTGGATCGCAGCATGGGCCGATTTTGTGCTTGGTCTCCGCGTCCGAGTCACCGACGCAAACGACAGTATTCTGTACGCCAACCACGACCCCGAGATCGAATGTGCGCAGATTGATGTGAAGTTCGTTGCAGAAACTTCCGGGCACGCTCTGCGCGTGCAGACCAGCCACTCGGTTCGATCAGGGGCCGACTTCATAGATGAATGCTTCCATGGACAAGATGACGTCTACTTTGGTCATAAATCCTTCCGGTCTGGGAGATTGCAATGGCAAACAGTGTTACATGACGCGTTTGGAGAGAGCTTCTCGCTATTGATGACGCAAGAAGAACGCGAAACAACGCGGTCTCAGCCACGCTCATCACCTCCAATAACGCAAGACACGTCCGTTCCTCACGAAGAAACTCAGTCAGGCGAGACTGCAAACCATCTGTTCGTACATATGCTTGCAATTGCAGCATTGGACACAGCAGCGAGGGGGAAAATGCACGGGGCAGGCAATGCCAGGCTGTGTCTGCTCCGTTTTTATGAGAACGTCCCGGAGTTAAAGCAGTGTCATGATCTAATCAAACGCGAGCGTGTCCGATGTGAAATGAAGGTGAATAAGCTCTGTTGCTGTCCGGATCATGCTGGGTTGGACCAACGATCACATCCGCACGAATTTTGCCTACTTTCCGTGACAGACTGTATCATCAATTTGGCATTAGTACTGGACCTCGTCGTGTTAGAGACTCCACTGCTACCAACGATGTGGGGTTTGCATCTTTTGTCTCGCGAACCCCTATATATCAGCGAGAATTGGGGAAATATCCGTAGGCGTATGGATATTCTTACTATGTTATTCTCCGGGGAGAGTTCCAGTGCACATCATGACAATATCGCACGGAGCGATGGACGGGTGTACTGCTACGGACAGACATTAGCAGGCCTTACAGAAGATCTTCACGTCGCAACTAAGATCCACATTGGATCTGGGCAGATCCAATATCGCACACGAGTTTTTCCAGAGTTGATAGATGTCTATACACACGAGGAGCAATCGCGCGACTTGCATCCGCGGCAAACTTGCGGAATTTATGCAGACGAAGCTCTCAAGGACGATACATCCCCAAGGTCGATAACGACAAGACTAATAGTGAGAGAGACCCCCACAAGCCTCTGTATCGGCCACGAAATATTGTTCGATGGTGGCAATGTACTCATTCCTCCATGTCAGTTTTTGCAGTGGCTACGCTCCGCCGGTTTCTATAAGTATGCGACAAGACTACCGCTGAGTCTTGAAGCCGAGTGGGGATCTGTACTCCAGGAATCCCAAAACGTTGTTGCACGCGGAGAAGGGAATATACCAAAGGGATGTCATGAGCTCAGACCACACAGGGGAAACTCTCTGGGCCGCTGTGTAGCACTATATTTGTCAAAGGGCTGTACTGCGTTAGTCAGGACAGATGAGGAACTGGAAATGTTCAAAAGGTTCTGGGCAAAACACCGCAACGATTGCAGAGAATCTCAAAAAGATCCAGAGTACTACACGCTCATCTCATGAGGTCTGGGTATGAGAGGACAGGAAGGAAATGCACGTGTCCTCCGCCGTCGGTAGAATGATAAAGGACTTTAGGATCTTTTTCGTTTACTCAGAAGGGCTATTGGTCTAAATCGTGGTCGTGGAACTTAGCAAATTTGTCAGCCAGCAGGATAGTTCAATTCGTATGCCAATCGAATGAACATCGTTTCGTCTGCGTACAGCACAGTTCAACACCGTTGGATAGCATCAGCTCAGCTGTAACACCTTATTCAACGCAAACGTCTGAGCCCATTGGATCCCAAGCGTCCTCATAGACGAGAACTATTCCTTCCCTAGGATGTCTTACGCGCACAATGCCCTACATCAACCTCGCGTGCTGTGCTCTAGCATAGTCGTTCATGACAGTTTCGCACCGAAGAACACAAGCCGAGCAACCTTTATACGTAGAGCTTATACGTAGAGCACGAGATATTGCAATACTCGTAGGCGTTCCGAGGTCTGAAGTCCATTATGAACCCTCATTGCTGACGTTTAAAATCACGCGTTTCACATCGTCTTCCTTGATAACATCACAGTGTGAAAGGGTATTCCAAGGATCAAAACCTCGATTGCCAACAATGGACAAAAAACATCTTTCCACCATAGACATGCGTGCAGCTACCAAGCGGCGCTTTAGGAAGGCAGTAAGTGTAAATTAAGTCTGCGCAATGTGTACATCTAAGATTGGATCCCATGCTCCGGCGGAAAATGCGAGTGCCATGCGTCTAATCAGATACGGGAAATTGATGAGAAGAATCCTACACCAAAGCACGAAAGTCAGACAGCATGCTTCAGCCGCTCCCAAGTGCGAAGGTAACAAAACTGTGCAATTCGTCCTATCACATAGGATCACTGAGGCCGTTGACACGCAGGAAGACATGCGACCCACCAGTCTAGCCTGGCTCGCTTATCACGCCCCACTAGCTCGCACAAAGACTTCTCAGCCCCGCACCCCAACCAGCTATGCCCCGCATCCTGACATCTTCACGCACACTGCTTCGGCGCTTTCATCGAAAATGTCTGTATATATTGATAATAATTTAGTGTATCCCCATCAACAGCATCAGCCCCCGGGCAGATCATCCCAGATCGTATAGTGGTCAGTATTTCTGCTTGTCATTCACAGGCAGTTCGCAGGAGACCTGGGTTCAATTCCCAGTCTGGGAGCTTTCCACGCTTTCTTTTTGCTTTTTGGTGTTACTTGATTGACATCATAGAGAAGTGGGTGGGAGGGAGTGATGGTGGTTTCTTTTGCGCAGGGACACCACACGTTGCGCACGGGCTCCTGGTAGCTTAGGAAGTACGTGCGGAGGGGTAGGTAACACGCAATGAACGCGTTAGATTTTGTTTGGTATGGTTCTTTCTATTCGGGAGTCTAGTTGCATGTATGGAAGATTTTTCACCAAAAGGCTGCATGAGCACGCTTGTGGACTCAGCGCATCTGCGAGGGTAACATGATCGGCTGATGAAATTTCTGGTTCTCACTACCTTCGCTATGTTCACATGAACATTCAAGAGTGTCCCTCGCACCAAGGAAACTGACCACCAGGAAGAACTTGATCAATGGTATCCCAGTACGTGCAAAAGCTATTCCAAAACTCGCAGATGGAGTTTTTCAAGGCGAAGACGGACCCACGTCGACCCATGGGTTATCATCGGCCCGGTAGACCTGGCTCTGACTCATAAGAACGTGGCCTTGATAGATCTGGCTCTGACCGAGAATAACGTCCTCTCGGGACGACGCGAAACGATACAGCCATGTCGATGGTACTCGTGTCCGAGGCCTGATCCATCTGCGCCAGGCTTTTCCAACATACTCCACAATCGTCCAGAACAGCAAGGCATTCAGTATTCGAACTGGCCGTTGCAGTAAGACGTCCAAAGGGACAAAGAACCAGCGTCTTGGAGTAAAGAACACCTCTAGAAACGAATTCGGCAGTGGAAAGCTATCGCCAGGCCCAGGGTTCGAGAGCCGCTTTAAAGGGTAACTGAGGCATCCCATGACCAAAAAAATGGAAAAAACACAGATCAAGTATACCTATCAGGAATGCCTTGAGTCCTATTCGTGAGAGTAAAATATGTCCAGTTTGAAATTCAGGATTGATGGTTTCGTGGAAATAGCTCATGCATTCTTTATTCCTATCGAAATTCAGGTCGTAGTTTGCGGCCCAGATTGTGCTAAAATGCCGGAAAAGATGGAACGGTTTGTCTGAGCGGAGGGTCTCCCAGTATAGTCGATAGAACTCGCACTCGCAGAGGATAAAGAATGACATCGCGAAATGAATGGCCCACACTTGAGCTCGGGGGTCTGGTGTCAAAGCGACGAGATCGGCAGCAAGATAGTCTCGTGTCCATATCGCGAATTGCCCGACGAGTACAAGTACCAAGACTAGCGGCGAGGTATAGGATCGTGGTACACGGGCTCCTCTGGGATCTTCACGGCGATTGTGGACATTGTCGTCGATGATGTGAAAGTACGCAGCGCTGGTATGCGGGGTGATGCCCCAGAGTAACCACACAAAGATGCTCGAGTACCTGGAAGGCCGGAGATGAAATATGATGACCGAAATGACCGACACAAGGCAATACGTGACATAGCGAGCCTTGATGAAGCGTATTGAAGGGTTTCGAAACATGACGTTCAATGACGGCTGACAAGCGCGGGAGCTGGTCGTGAATCTCACTGATGGATAAAGACAGCATGAAGGCTGCGTCAAGGTGCTAGACACGTGTTCTTTTGCATTTGGTAGATTTTGGTCGAGCTGACTCACCGCGCCAGATGCGCGGTAGAGGCTTGTCAATAGATAGTGCGAACCAAAGTTCCTTCAAGGAGTACACATTTTAGTCATACGTAGCCACAACGGCAGACATGACAACCCATCTAACCATTGTCTCTCATTACTGGAACTGTGGAGATCATACACAGTTTGAGCCATTTGCGCAAAGCTTGCAAGCACTGATCTCACCTCAGGACTCTTAGAAATCACTGAGTGCTTCTCCCGACTGTCCCTCGAGATTTTCGCAGACATGGGACTTGAGAGGTTATTGGCTTGCCTGATTCTTGAGCCAGGAATGGGTTGTGTCCATTCTCCACGTCATTGAGTACGTTGAATGTGCGACATTGATCCTGTATATTTGCAACGGGGAAGTTTCCATTCGTTTCCTCGGCAGAATCAAGGGAGGTGTGCGGATCGCCTTGCGTGCCATCTAGAAGCGCTCGATTCGAAGTAGGGTAGAGGAGTTGCATTGGCTCGCTAGGGGTCTGGAATCTTTTGCTTCGCTTGTGAGATCCATTCTGAGGAGCCGCAAGCAGATTCGGCGCCTCTCCACCCGACGACTGGTTATTTTGACAGAATAGCTCTGGTCTCTTCTGGACTAGATTAGGAGTTGGAGAAATGGGTCGTTTCTTGGATGCGGATCGAGGACAAATTGTCTGTGATGCACAATTTGAGTCAAAATCTGAGTAGTCTGTCATCGAAGATTGACCCAAAGAATCGCTTCCGCTCGACGTCCCGATTACAGTTTGCAACACCTCATCAGGGTCCTCCAGTATTGGCGGATCACCAACAGAGTCAGTTCCTTGTTCGACCGTAGGTAAGGGCAGATTTGGGATGCTGTAGATGCTGTGCTTGGTCAAGGAATCAATCTGGGGTTCCGTCCTGCGACCTTGCCATGAGATCATCTCGGATTTCCCGAAGATGACTGCGCCTGCACTTTGAATTTTGTTAGGAGGTACCGTAGAACCAAGGTGGTCGCGCGGGTAGATTTGTTGCAGTCGACTGCAGTGACACGTCCGGGGATGATCACAATATCCAAAAAGCAGAGATCGTCCTTGGTGCCATTGCAGCTTCGTTGATGTTAGGTAGTCTCGTTTGAGACGAGATCCAGCGTACGTATAGAGATCTAACAAGATCTTCGCGGTGGTGGCCATGTAATCTAGCCCAGTTGGAAGCTGATGCCATTTGTGACACAGTTTTGGCTTGTCATCTTCTTTTGGGAGGTACACATCGCCGAAATCGTTTGCAAAGAGCACTAGAGCGTCGATGTCGTTAACAAGTGGTAGCCAACCGCCGTTATTCTTGACGAGTTTGACTTCTTTGAGACGATATGGTGATTTGTCTTCAACCACAGCGTTGTACTCATATCCGGTCAAGTATTCGCGATGCGTGATCTCGACCGAGCCACCCTGAGAGTCGCGATTCTGGTCCTTCGCTATCTTTTGATCAAGCAGGAACTCTAATCTCGACCAGATGTCCATGATTGTGTCTTTGAACAGACCATCAGTCCCGTCGAGAACCTGGGTCGTCTCGTGTTCCAAGAGTATGTCCTTTGCGGTACGAGTAGCAGATATATTGGTGTCGATGTTCACCTGTACTGAGCTTACTTTGAACGGATCGTTGGAGTGTGAGTGCTGGAACATATGTAACATGAGTGCAGACGAAGATACGAGCCAGGCCCTCCGTCCACCAGTGTCCGGTATCGCGCTTGTGTAGCTACCTTGGACGTGTCCTCCCGTGTCATAAAGTAAGATTGGGGTTTGATCGGCACAGCTAACGATCTTTCTGTATGTTCCAGTTCGATGTCGGTGGCTAGGCCCAGCCTTTGCACCGAGCTTGAAGTCGAGTGTCCCAACTCCCCAGTTTTGTAAGCCTAACGTGGCTCCAGTACAAAGGACCGAGGAACCGGCATACCCAGCAGTGGAATAATCGATGTTCTCATAGTTGGCCGCGTCCGATCCCAACCGTACCTCCACTCTGGAGCACCAGCCTAGGAAAGCTCGACATTTTTGCGCATCTTCAAGGCTAACTTCGTCCACAAGTGCGCGAGAGAGACACTGAGCCAGCCCATCCGCGTACGTCAGGCGAACTTCAGAATCTTTGCTCGATATGGCGTGCCATTGAATGCGGTTTTCTTCCTTTAGTATCGGCACGAACATGTGAGAAAATCCTTTCAGAACAACGCCACCCTCGTAAACGACCGCATGGCGAACCCCGCCAAGTTCTGCAAGGAGCTGAAGTGGAAGTTCCAAGCCCACCTCTTTACCACGAGCTGCAGCGGGAAATCCAGGTGCAATGACTGCTCCACTGAACATTTGCAGCCAACATATGTCTTCCGTACCGTGAATCTCGCTTTCGTGGAATGTGAGATCGTAGCTCTGCCCGTAGGGTTCCTCGGTATTCGCTGATGAGAGCGCTATGCTAGAATGGGAGTACGCAAGGCCGCCAGTGGAAGACATTCTCAGTGTGCAGCCAAGCCAAGCAAATGCCTGTGCCATCTCAATAAGTGGCGGCAAGCCTGCAAACCAAATGCTCAGAGTGACATTCTGGTGGTTTGAGCCAAGCTCGATAGCGACATCGATATTGAGCTCAAGACTTTCTGAGACGCTTATTAGCGTCGGGACATGACATACTACAAGTGGACCTCAAGTACCTTTCCGTGCGTAGCCTGTCTCCAGTGTAAGTTGCAGCAAGTTGAGAAGGAAAACGCCTGCGTCTGGCCATAGTGCTTGTACATAATCTTTTACCATCGAAGCTTGGGCGCGTAATGCTGCGCCCGTGAGGACGACCGCTGAGCCAAGATGCGGCAGGTCTTGCCCGTACTCAGATCTTAGAAACCCATAAAGATCCCAATCAGCCCGAATGATGACAAGCGTACGAGTCCCGGACGGTGGCGAGCCGGCATGATCAGTGAGAAAGTGGTGGTAGAACTCCAGCTGGTCTCTGTCGTCGCAATAAAGCAATCGCCATAGAGCGGATGTGACTTCTTGAAACTCATCGCTAGACATAAGAACCTCGCGAATGGGCCCAAGAACTTGCAGGCCCGACTCTTCCACGTGATGTTCGTTTCCAGGGATAAGGGACTGATTTGAGCTCGAGTCCACTTTGTCAAGAAGACCAAAGATTTCATCAAGCGATAGCTGTTGTCCCAGACCTTGCAGACGTGTCGACAGCGACTCCGTATTGACTGGAACAGCTGCAGAGTTGTGACGAAAGTAGTGAGCAACCTGGGGTCGACATTGCCGTAATAGTTTGAAACCACCCGAGAGTAGCTTTTGCCGCCCGTTTGCGAATTGTTCCCGTCTCGTCTGACCTTCTGCTCTTGCCCTTTTCTCCAAAGCTTCTGCAAAGTTCTTTAAAGCTGTGTTCACAATCCTGCCGATCGCGGTC